AAATTTAAGATCTGGATTTGGAAATACTAAAACCAAAACGTCCAGATGCATTACTCAAAGTGAAAAAATTGGGCAAGGACTAAAAACTGCTCAGTTAGCCATTGTTTTAGAAAAGATGGGAATCTAGGTACATTTAGATTCTAGCCACAGGATTCATACAATGACCATAAAATATCTCCTCTGCAATGAGAGGACATACTTTAAGTCACAACACTGCATATGCTCAAACCCTGACAGGACAATAAACACATTTCTAAAATAAACGAGGAAATTAAAAAAATATAGCCCTGAAAATCCATGACCTGAACAGCAACTGCAAGCCCACTGCTAAGTCATCTGAAATGTCCAACACAACATTAGAACTGAAGTCCCCATCGTTAGCACAAATGGAAGTGCAGGGAAAAAAGAACAAGGAAATCACAACATACATACCTTTGTTTCTTCAATACTTGGGAGTGGCGAGTTCAGAAATTTTTCTGTTAGTCTTTTCCAGCTTGCTGCTTTTCCAAGGTCAGAATGAACTATCAATTTTTCATGTATTCTAATAACAAAAATAGTATCAAAAATGCTTCAAAAAAGTTAACTAATCCATTATTAATCTATAAGCATAAAACTTACCCTTCTATCGTCCTCTCTACTTTGTGACTGTTCACATCAAGAAAACGGTGAAATCTATGTAAGAAATCTGTATTAGAATATGTTTTAAAAGGAAGCTTGAGTAAAGAAGAAAATAAAGCTGATTCACATATACGAGGACAACATTATTAGTTTAATAATGCATGCTTAATTCAGCAACAGCATTAAACATCCACAAAATTTAATCTCAGTGTCTCTTAGCTCAATAAGGATTTAGTACAATCGACCTTAACCATGGAAAAATGCAGGTTACATTTAACTAGCACTTTAAGATGAATGGAAAATTACTACTGTATTGGCAAACTGCACAATTAAAGTATGCTGTCAGTTAAACCAAATGGAGCAAGGAGATCAAGAACTAGATTGTCAAAGGCATCTGTGTCGAATGTACAAAAATCATCTGGGACTTGCATCACTAGGACAGACAAAATAGACACCCACATGGGAAGGCCTCTAAACCCAAATGAAACTCCTTTATAATAGCAAAGGAGAGTGCCTAAAAGAAAAGAGAGCTTAATCAAAATAACGAAAGGTAGCATGCACTGGGACAAAATAAGAACTTGTGAAAGGTAAAGATGAATTTTGCAGAATAAATTAGAATAAGGTTCTTCAGTTATACAGACAGAAGAAACAGGGAACAGGATATGACAGCAGTGATCACAAGGTCAAGATACTCTACACGTAGGCCCTCAAAACCAACCTAGTATTTTGGCTCAGCTTCCAGCAACAACTGTGCAGAACACAGGGGTAAATCTCTCATGACCACAGACAGAAATGGAAACTGTTGGATCTGAATCGGGAGCAAAATTTAAGCTAAATAGACTGGATTTGGGAAGACAATCTAAAGTCACCTCAATGTCAAAATAATGAACTAAATAATGAACTAAAAAACAAAACTATAAGGCAAGTAGCAAGGATTTTTAATGTTTCACTGGAGGATGAAGGCCTGCCTATATTAAAGAAAAGAAAAAATTATTTTGTTAACTACAGACCAAAATTACAGCTGATTTCAGCTGCATGTAAGACTTTAGAATAAAAGCATCATAAAATGTAGCTAAATGTAGCTGACATTTAGGTTAAGACATATAGCTTATCTCATCTGTTACAGCATATCAGCTTACACAGGAAATCATTACTTCAAATGGAAAATGGTAGTCAGTACAAGAACTGGAAGATATAGAAATTAAAGTTTTAATTAATGACCTTAACCCACACAAGTAAAAACAGTATCAGTTGTTTTAGGCAAGCTGGGCCCATCATGAATAGGACTAGAGTGCTGCATAGCAAAAAATAAATTAATCTGAAAGCTACAGCATAGAAATATCATCAAATCTAACAATACAAACCACAAATTCCACAAACTTGAAACTAAAGAGAGCTTCTGCTACAACTTTAGGTCTCACGGTTTGGAATATGACATTAGTCGATCTCAGATTGAAGTTCCACACACACTTTTTAGACAACAATTCTGGCATAAAAACTCTTCCCAGCCCTCCCTGTCAAAACATGTTGTCAACTCTGCATCATTGTTTCTGTTTTCCTACCATGTTGTTTTAAAACAAACAAACCAAGCCAACAACTCCCCAGTCTAAAAGAGCACACAGCTACATGCAACTGGATGACTGAAACGGGAGAGATGTCACAAAGGGACATGGAAGACAGGGCACATTTACACAGCTCAAGAAACCCTGCTACCATCTCCAACCTGCAGACTCAGAGTAACAGCTATTACAAGCAACTATTTTGACACAGTTACAAAACCAATAAACACAATCCTATGATGCATTACACAAAATATTTCTGGCAAATACAAAGAACATGGTGACAGAAGTTACAAATAAGATACTCCTACGTTTCCCATGAATACAACTAGCCTCCTCAAAATTCAGCAGATACACATGGCAAAACACCATCTGCAGGTCATACCCAGCTCTCCCACACCTCAGACTAACCTTTGCTGTTGGCCAACGGCTATTTGGTTATTATAATAGTCTTATTTGAGCCTACTAATAGGTAGGATTCACAGCCTGATGATGCAATGCATTTATGCTACTTCTCACCCCAACAAATTTATTTAATTTAAGAAATAAGTAGCATTGATTTTAAATGGATTAGGTACTTGCTGCATGAAGTTAAGCAAGTACATAAGACTCCGAAGAGGCAGCAGTTAGTGACAGCATGGGAAACTGGAAATAGATCATGTAAAAACTGGCAGCAGACACTGAAAGGTCAGCTGTCACAACTGAAAAAGCTGTATGTAAAACTTTAGTAAGGATTTTTAGATGGCAGCGCAATAGAATTAATGGCATACAAATAATATATATTACAGGTTAATAAAGACCATGTTTATGACAAGTTGAAATAACAAACACACTATCTACTGCTGCAGATTTATAACCTTTCATACAAGCAGCACAGTATTCTTGGCCAGAAGCTTTGTCTTAATTTTCTGGAGCTTTCATTTATTTGCTCGTTACATGTACTGATTATTTCTTTACTTCCCTCCAACAATCAGAATTACGGAGGGCTAAATGAAGATGTTGCAAGGTACCTTTATATGGATCAGGAGAAAAGCCCTGGAAGAATGAGACTTTAAAGGGATGGAGTGACAGCCACCGGCCCTCTGACAGGGACTCGCAAAGGGCCCCCAGTGCTACCCCAGGCGCCCTGCACGGCAGGACACGGCCCTCCATCAGACTCCAGCAGACAGAAGGCCCCCTCCTTGTTTGCCGGCAAGCAGGGGCAGCGGGTCACAGCCCACCCCCTCTGCCCAGAGGGGAGCCCGGCGCCGGGTGCCGGCCCTGCCGGGGGCTCCTTCCCTCAGCGGCGCCGGTGGGCCCCGGCGGGAGCGGGGCGGAGGGGCCCTCTCGCTCGCTCGCCCCCAGCCCCGTTGCTGAGGGGCACGGCCGCAGCCGCCGAGCTTCTCCCCGGGGGCGGGCGCTGACCTGAAGTTGGACCAAGCGAAATTCAGCGCCGCCTGGAACCTGCCGCCTCCCAGCTCCTCCTCGGGCATGCCGGTCACGCTGCGCACCAAGGCGCGGACGGCCTGTTCCTGCTCCTGCTCGAACCGGCTGCGGTGGCCGGGGGAGGCCAGCGGCGCCGCCATGGCCGCAGATGCGGGGACGGGGACGCGGGAGGGGGGGGGTAGAAGGGGCGGGGGTCGACAGCTCCGGGAGGCACCGCGGAGCGTCCCCTCACAGCCGGCGCCGCCGCAGCACTTCTCGCGAGACTTCTATGTGGCTTCTCGCGAGAGCCAGACTCCCGCCGGGGGTCGGGGGGGGGAAGTGAGACGTGCGCACGCGCGGGGCGGGAGGGCGATGGGCGCCTCCCGGCCCGGTGGCAGTTGGGGCCGTGAGGGGCCGGGCGGCACCGGGAGGGCAGTGGGTCTCCAGCCCCGCTCCTGCAGCGGCTTCCTGTCACGGAAATGTCAGCTGTCTTCGGAAACACCCCCATAGAGGCGTGCTTACCCGGGACGAGTGATTACCCGTCCAGATAAGGGCCTGGGGCTGGCTCTGCCTTGCCGAGTTCATTTCCGCAGACCGAGACACAATGCCTGGCATGGCAGGAGGATCAGAAGCCATTCCTTAGAATTACATTATTCTTGGCCATGAGCCAGCCGTGTGCCCTTGTGGCCAAGAAGTCCAACAGTGTCCTCGGGTGCATTAAAAAAAGCATGGCCAGCAGGTTGAGGGAGGTCATCCTCCCCATCACTTCATCACTATGTTTCTTTTAACTATGCATTTAGTACATTACCAAAGAATGATTTTTCTTAAATGTGAAAGCTTTAGCTAATCCCAGGTAGATAGCTACTGCTTATACAACATATGAATATTATGCAGTCTTCTTACCCTAGGTATCCTGTATCCTACAATATTCTATGGAAAAATATACAGCTAGAGTTAATATTCCCTGAATCTATTCCAGATTAAGCCACTAGTGTTTCAATTACATAAAACTATTTCTTTTTTTTTTCAAAAATGTTTCATACCCAGAACAGAGTCAAATGTTTGTCCTCTACCAAATTTTGTTTCTGCATTCTGATACTTAATAATAAAAATTTACATTATATCCATATAACTACATGTTACATTTACTGCATACATTTTCATATCTATAATGGAACATCCGTGTTTGTTTCTACAGAAATAAACAGAGGCCTTCTCCATTACCATCAACAGAAATCAAATCAAACCTTCCATATTGCTTCTTTACTGTTAAAAATAAAACAAGCAGTAATAAGCTGCACCTTAAAACTACAATTGTAAGTCTAAGACGTAACACCTCAATAAAGCATGGTAAATTAAGCCAAGTTAGCTTGCTAAATTTGAATATGTATGACCATACCAGAAGAATTATAGTTTATTCTAACCTTTCCAAGAAACATTAAGCACTGTTTTCTTATTTGGATCTTGATCTTCTAAAGGTGTCCTGTCCACTTGAATACCCGAGTCCTCCCTGCTTAAAGGCTGAGTGTCTTCCTCCTCGTCACTTTCTCCAGACCAATCCTATTAAATGCAACAAAACCCAGTACATTTCAGTACAAGATAATACACAGATCTAGATTCACTTCCTATTGATCTGAGAAGCGGAATACAAACTCTTCTCTTTTTTCTGCCACTGTAAAGTAAATTCAGGACACTAAGGCTAATGTAACTGTCTGCCAGACGCTGGTTTAAGTTATACATAACATTAATAACCAGACAAATGAGAGAACTGGAGAAGATCACAGAACTACCAAAAGTCAGCAGAAGGATCCAGTTTAGTTGCAGGATTAAGTCAGACCACAGTGAAGAACAAAAGCATTTGTATTACTGTTACTCTGCTTGGGTCTGTGTGTATTTCATGGTATTAAGTAAGAAGCGACATATTGGGTAACCCTGTGAGAATCATGCAAAGCACACAAATCAGGTCTCCAACATATTTCAAAACAGCTAATACAGTTTTTTTTACCTTAAGAAATTACTTACTGGTGTATCTACTCCTGGGCCAAAGTAAATTTCTTCTCCTTCCATCAAATACTTTCCCCAATCAAATTCTTCTTCCTTTTCTAAGAGAAATATAAACATAAAAACAGTAAGTATCATGTAATCCAGACGTCCTTTTCCTCTAAAAATATTTTCAAAGCTAAAATTATATTGTTACTCTAAAACAAAAGGCATTCCTTTCCACCTAAGGTTACACCACTGTTCCTTTAACAAGGTTATACACTTTCAGACATGTAAATTGTGACCTATCAACCATGTACATTCCACATTTATTAATTCTCAATTTTGTTGCCTATGCATTCAAAATATGCAACATAGCGTGCCATGAGCACATTTATCTGTGCTGTGTTACACTTCCCTACACTTCAATTTTGGAAAAAACATGCAAGGATGCAACATATCACTTATTGTGACTAGTTCCACTTAGCTCAGTGGAAACATTCTAAATGTATAATTTACATATGGACAAGGATTCTGGACCGTAAACAACATAAAGCAAGAACTGTCTCACTCTCAGAAAAAGACACCACATATCCATGATATGATGTGTAATACTTTAAAAATAACAATCACACTTACAATATATTATACCTTAAACATGAAGCTTACTCAACTGTAATTAGTGTTGTTTGAGATAACCTCTTCATATTCACATTCCTGGAATGGGCTGAAAGTGCATTCAAAACACCGCCGAGGGAATGTGCAGAGATCATTCAAAAAGGAATCTTAAGATGCAAGATTTTCTTTAGGTTAGTCTGAAATATTCTTTCAGTCTACGATACAACACTGTAAACAAATGGGGGATGGTATCCACTCAAACTTAAGCACAAGCCTCATTTTCAGGCACTGAGTGAAACAGTCCTACTTCAGGAAGCAGGCAGCTGGGATCTCCTTCTGAAAACCTTTCCTTAACTACATAGGGAACATAGGAATTTACGTCACCAAAGCTGTTTCAGCAGATCTCCTACTGAGGTACAACACAGAGACTGAGGACAGAAACCCGCTGCCTGTCCTTGAGCATGTAAGCACTGCTGAACAGGTGGACAATGTTAGCAAGTGACAGTGGTACAAATCAAAAAGAGTTCCCAAGGTACTTTGGTGGCTGGAAAACTTAATTAGGCAATGCAACATAAATGGGGGTGGGAAAGATTCGGAGGCTGTTTTAAATGTATGCATCATAAAAAGATAATCAATAAAGCACCTTGAAGTGAAGGAGATAATAAAATGGAGAGGAAAAATGCCCTTCTCAAATTGCATTAGTGGATTGTATCTTTTCTTAGCAAACATAAACATCTTGTAAACTTACCCACTTCTTTTTCTCTTGTTTTTTCCACATAGGTGGTGTTGGATGGAGAATCAGACAAACACAACAGAAGAGACAGTATGGCATAGTGTGTATCTGTCTTTAAAACATATTGGGGATAAAAAAAAAAAAAAAGCAAGTCAATGAATAAAAGATTTTGGTTAGGAACAAACTCAATCTATTATCTGCAGGAATGCTTCACATTAGTTCCCATCACCCAGTCCTGAACTACAAAAAGAACATCTGCAATGTGATACTGAATGCTGTTTGTTTTCTTTTGCCTCTTAATTAGCCAATCAATATACAAACGCTTCAAAATAGCCACAGCATAAAATGCCTCTTGCTGAGCTGATAATCTAAGAATATGGAAAAGTAGCAAGAGGAACTGTGAAGTACTATGAAAGTAAGAAGTCACCAGAGGAACAAGGGATGACGGGTAGCTACATTACTGTCAATGAGGCAGAAGGACACAGGTAATAGGCCTGCAGGCAACCAAGTCTTAGTTCCCTTATTCATATGGTTAATTATTCCAAACAGAGGCCAAAATGAAGTTAGCCAAAACATTTTGCCAAAATCACTAAAATTTAAGATCTGGATTTGGAAATACTAAAACCAAAACGTCCAGATGCATTACTCAAAGTGAAAAAATTGGGCAAGGACTAAAAACTGCTCAGTTAGCCATTGTTTTAGAAAAGATGGGAATCTAGGTACATTTAGATTCTAGCCACAGGATTCATACAATGACCATAAAATATCTCCTCTGCAATGAGAGGACATACTTTAAGTCACAACACTGCATATGCTCAAACCCTGACAGGACAATAAACACATTTCTAAAATAAACGAGGAAATTAAAAAAATATAGCCCTGAAAATCCATGACCTGAACAGCAACTGCAAGCCCACTGCTAAGTCATCTGAAATGTCCAACACAACATTAGAACTGAAGTCCCCATCGTTAGCACAAATGGAAGTGCAGGGAAAAAAGAACAAGGAAATCACAACATACATACCTTTGTTTCTTCAATACTTGGGAGTGGCGAGTTCAGAAATTTTTCTGTTAGTCTTTTCCAGCTTGCTGCTTTTCCAAGGTCAGAATGAACTATCAATTTTTCATGTATTCTAATAACAAAAATAGTATCAAAAATGCTTCAAAAAAGTTAACTAATCCATTATTAATCTATAAGCATAAAACTTACCCTTCTATCGTCCTCTCTACTTTGTGACTGTTCACATCAAGAAAACGGTGAAATCTATGTAAGAAATCTGTATTAGAATATGTTTTAAAAGGAAGCTTGAGTAAAGAAGAAAATAAAGCTGATTCACATATACGAGGACAACATTATTAGTTTAATAATGCATGCTTAATTCAGCAACAGCATTAAACATCCACAAAATTTAATCTCAGTGTCTCTTAGCTCAATAAGGATTTAGTACAATCGACCTTAACCATGGAAAAATGCAGGTTACATTTAACTAGCACTTTAAGATGAATGGAAAATTACTACTGTATTGGCAAACTGCACAATTAAAGTATGCTGTCAGTTAAACCAAATGGAGCAAGGAGATCAAGAACTAGATTGTCAAAGGCATCTGTGTCGAATGTACAAAAATCATCTGGGACTTGCATCACTAGGACAGACAAAATAGACACCCACATGGGAAGGCCTCTAAACCCAAATGAAACTCCTTTATAATAGCAAAGGAGAGTGCCTAAAAGAAAAGAGAGCTTAATCAAAATAACGAAAGGTAGCATGCACTGGGACAAAATAAGAACTTGTGAAAGGTAAAGATGAATTTTGCAGAATAAATTAGAATAAGGTTCTTCAGTTATACAGACAGAAGAAACAGGGAACAGGATATGACAGCAGTGATCACAAGGTCAAGATACTCTACACGTAGGCCCTCAAAACCAACCTAGTATTTTGGCTCAGCTTCCAGCAACAACTGTGCAGAACACAGGGGTAAATCTCTCATGACCACAGACAGAAATGGAAACTGTTGGATCTGAATCGGGAGCAAAATTTAAGCTAAATAGACTGGATTTGGGAAGACAATCTAAAGTCACCTCAATGTCAAAATAATGAACTAAATAATGAACTAAAAAACAAAACTATAAGGCAAGTAGCAAGGATTTTTAATGTTTCACTGGAGGATGAAGGCCTGCCTATATTAAAGAAAAGAAAAAATTATTTTGTTAACTACAGACCAAAATTACAGCTGATTTCAGCTGCATGTAAGACTTTAGAATAAAAGCATCATAAAATGTAGCTAAATGTAGCTGACATTTAGGTTAAGACATATAGCTTATCTCATCTGTTACAGCATATCAGCTTACACAGGAAATCATTACTTCAAATGGAAAATGGTAGTCAGTACAAGAACTGGAAGATATAGAAATTAAAGTTTTAATTAATGACCTTAACCCACACAAGTAAAAACAGTATCAGTTGTTTTAGGCAAGCTGGGCCCATCATGAATAGGACTAGAGTGCTGCATAGCAAAAAATAAATTAATCTGAAAGCTACAGCATAGAAATATCATCAAATCTAACAATACAAACCACAAATTCCACAAACTTGAAACTAAAGAGAGCTTCTGCTACAACTTTAGGTCTCACGGTTTGGAATATGACATTAGTCGATCTCAGATTGAAGTTCCACACACACTTTTTAGACAACAATTCTGGCATAAAAACTCTTCCCAGCCCTCCCTGTCAAAACATGTTGTCAACTCTGCATCATTGTTTCTGTTTTCCTACCATGTTGTTTTAAAACAAACAAACCAAGCCAACAACTCCCCAGTCTAAAAGAGCACACAGCTACATGCAACTGGATGACTGAAACGGGAGAGATGTCACAAAGGGACATGGAAGACAGGGCACATTTACACAGCTCAAGAAACCCTGCTACCATCTCCAACCTGCAGACTCAGAGTAACAGCTATTACAAGCAACTATTTTGACACAGTTACAAAACCAATAAACACAATCCTATGATGCATTACACAAAATATTTCTGGCAAATACAAAGAACATGGTGACAGAAGTTACAAATAAGATACTCCTACGTTTCCCATGAATACAACTAGCCTCCTCAAAATTCAGCAGATACACATGGCAAAACACCATCTGCAGGTCATACCCAGCTCTCCCACACCTCAGACTAACCTTTGCTGTTGGCCAACGGCTATTTGGTTATTATAATAGTCTTATTTGAGCCTACTAATAGGTAGGATTCACAGCCTGATGATGCAATGCATTTATGCTACTTCTCACCCCAACAAATTTATTTAATTTAAGAAATAAGTAGCATTGATTTTAAATGGATTAGGTACTTGCTGCATGAAGTTAAGCAAGTACATAAGACTCCGAAGAGGCAGCAGTTAGTGACAGCATGGGAAACTGGAAATAGATCATGTAAAAACTGGCAGCAGACACTGAAAGGTCAGCTGTCACAACTGAAAAAGCTGTATGTAAAACTTTAGTAAGGATTTTTAGATGGCAGCGCAATAGAATTAATGGCATACAAATAATATATATTACAGGTTAATAAAGACCATGTTTATGACAAGTTGAAATAACAAACACACTATCTACTGCTGCAGATTTATAACCTTTCATACAAGCAGCACAGTATTCTTGGCCAGAAGCTTTGTCTTAATTTTCTGGAGCTTTCATTTATTTGCTCGTTACATGTACTGATTATTTCTTTACTTCCCTCCAACAATCAGAATTACGGAGGGCTAAATGAAGATGTTGCAAGGTACCTTTATATGGATCAGGAGAAAAGCCCTGGAAGAATGAGACTTTAAAGGGATGGAGTGACAGCCACCGGCCCTCTGACAGGGACTCGCAAAGGGCCCCCAGTGCTACCCCAGGCGCCCTGCACGGCAGGACACGGCCCTCCATCAGACTCCAGCAGACAGAAGGCCCCCTCCTTGTTTGCCGGCAAGCAGGGGCAGCGGGTCACAGCCCACCCCCTCTGCCCAGAGGGGAGCCCGGCGCCGGGTGCCGGCCCTGCCGGGGGCTCCTTCCCTCAGCGGCGCCGGTGGGCCCCGGCGGGAGCGGGGCGGAGGGGCCCTCTCGCTCGCTCGCCCCCAGCCCCGTTGCTGAGGGGCACGGCCGCAGCCGCCGAGCTTCTCCCCGGGGGCGGGCGCTGACCTGAAGTTGGACCAAGCGAAATTCAGCGCCGCCTGGAACCTGCCGCCTCCCAGCTCCTCCTCGGGCATGCCGGTCACGCTGCGCACCAAGGCGCGGACGGCCTGTTCCTGCTCCTGCTCGAACCGGCTGCGGTGGCCGGGGGAGGCCAGCGGCGCCGCCATGGCCGCAGATACGGGGACGGGGACGCGGGAGGGGGGGGGTAGAAGGGGCGGGGGTCGACAGCTCCGGGAGGCACCGCGGAGCGTCCCCTCACAGCCGGCGCCGCCGCAGCACTTCTCGCGAGACTTCTATGTGGCTTCTCGCGAGAGCCAGACTCCCGCCGGGGGTCGGGGGGGGGAAGTGAGACGTGCGCACGCGCGGGGCGGGAGGGCGATGGGCGCCTCCCGGCCCGGTGGCAGTTGGGGCCGTGAGGGGCCGGGCGGCACCGGGAGGGCAGTGGGTCTCCAGCCCCGCTCCTGCAGCGGCTTCCTGTCACGGAAATGTCAGCTGTCTTCGGAAACACCCCCATAGAGGCGTGCTTACCCGGGACGAGTGATTACCCGTCCAGATAAGGGCCTGGGGCTGGCTCTGCCTTGCCGAGTTCATTTCCGCAGACCGAGACACAATGCCTGGCATGGCAGGAGGATCAGAAGCCATTCCTTAGAATTACATTATTCTTGGCCATGAGCCAGCCGTGTGCCCTTGTGGCCAAGAAGTCCAACAGTGTCCTCGGGTGCATTAAAAAAAGCATGGCCAGCAGGTTGAGGGAGGTCATCCTCCCCATCTACTCTGCCCTGGTGAGGCCTTGTCTGGAGTACTGTGTCCAGTTCTGGTCTCCCCAGTTCAAGAAGGACAGGGAACTACTGGAAAGAATCCAGTGGATGGCTACAAAGATGACCAATGGACTGGAGCATCTCTCTTATGAGGAAAGGCTGAAAGACCTGGGTCTGTTTAGCCTGGAGAAGACAAAAGGGGATCTCATCAGTGGTTATAAATAGCTAAAGGACAGGTGTCAAGAGGATGGGGCCAGACACTTCCCAGTGGTGCCCAAGTGACAAGACAAGGGGCGACAGGCATGAGCTGGAACACAGGAAATTTCCATCTCAACACAAGGAAAAACTTTATTGTGAGAGTGACAGAGCACTGGAACGGGTTGCCCAGAGAGGCTGTGGAGTCTCCTTCTCTGGAGATATTAAAAACTCACCTGGATGCGTTCCTGTCCAGCCTTCATTGGTGAACCAGCTTTGGCAGGGAGGTTGGACTAGATGATCTCCAGAAGTCCCTTCCAATTCCTTCCGTTTTGTGGTTTCCCAGGCCTTCAGGTATCAATAATGGTAAATATTTCTCACAACACATTTCAGTACTCTTATCAAATTCAGGAGAGAATATCCAGTGTTGTCATCGTTCCCAAATGACAACTTCAGTGTTCCTGTAACATACCTTTGGATACATAATGTTCAGTCTGAATGTAGCAATATGCAGGGCTCTACTGTCTCCTGTACCAAGGAAATGATTTCCAAATATGGCTGCCCTAATAGGTAAGACCCTCTTCACAATAAAAAGGTTTAGTTTTTGGTTTGATTGCATATGCGAGAATATACCATTAGGGCTTTTGTCAGTATTAGAATAACACAGAATTTTATCTCATCCTACCAGTTCAGTCAACTGTTAGTACTTTACTCTTATTTCACCTCTATGTAGTTCAACTTTGTTTCAGACATTATTTATTGTGAGTGGAACACACAATACCCATTATTCAGCCAACTCTAAATTATATCTTGGGGGAGAGAGGGTCTGAACCCGCTCTGTTCTCCCCTCAACCCTAAAAAGCCACATACCACCATCTCTTAACATGGTGCGCAGCTAACACTGAAGCCTCTCCTAGTCCTCAAATTCTACCTATAAATTCTACCCAGCCACCAGAAAATGAAAATTCAAGCCAAGTTACAATGCTCCAGCCTGAACAAAGTGCATTACATGCTAATTTTTTCAGTCTTCTCACAGTTAACACAGACTGCTGCTTTTTGTTTGTTAGTAGGGGACGTAAATGCTGTCCTTGTCTTTCTCTTCTCCACCACTGAGAGAACAAACTGGGGATGCTGTTTTCTACTTGAGCTTCCCCACAAGTCAAACTTTAAAAAGCAACCGTAAAAATCACCGGCAACAGTAATAGCCATCATTTTGTCAGCAGTGCTGCAGCTGCTTCTGTTCCCAAAAGGAACAGAGAACAAATTCTCCCTAAAACGAATTCAGGGATTCACACAGGGATTTTCCCCAAGGGCTCCGTGCCTCACATCACACCAGCCATCCTATGACCCTTTTCAGTCACACTGGTTTTGCACCTATGATTTAAGAGGCTGCATTTCAGCATCTCTCCAAGACCACCCTGCACCAACAGGTCCAGCTGACACCCGGCAGGTGTGTTCCTCCCTGACCAAACCTCTGCTGCTGCACAGCTGGGCAAACCGCCGTTAGTGGACATTTGGCACACAATACACAAATGTGCATGTCAGCAGTGGTGGAAGAAACCAGTTTTGTCCAAGCTCCATGTCAAATGTTTGCCATCATGCTGCTGAACACCTTAAAATGCCTTTGTGCCTCCATATGGCTTTATGGGGCAGCAAGGACAGCAGCCTGGCCATGAACTTCCTTCTAGAAAGAAACTAATCAAATCAATGGAAAATGTTATTACTGACTGATTCCTGTAACAGCCCCTGCTTTGCTGCAGTTGTCATATCCTTTGTTTTTAGGCTTTGTCTTGCTTGATCTCATCAACGAATATAGGACTTTAACCCGCCTGGCCAAAATTTTATTACTGCTTTTCTCCATAAAAAATGATTTATATTGGCACAATGAAAGGAGTAGCCAATAGATCAGGAGGAGCGGCAGAAAAAAGACCTCAAAAATGTCCTTTTAAAGTTAAAATATACTTAATGTACCAATATAATGTGAAGAATTATGCAAAAATATAGTAGTATAATTTCATAATCCTAATAATTATAAAATAACATTTAAATTCTCCTAAGTTATAGTGTATTATGTTTTTACCCAGGTAGGCTAAATCTTACCTTAAGGTTCAGATGCAGAACTGCAAGGAAGTGATGGCCTCAGTGCACTTGCGGGCAGGATGCTCAGCATGAACATGAGCTCAGAGGGGCTCTGCTCCAGAGCCATTTTTATAAAGCCTTAAATTACTAAACGTTCCAAGGAGAAGTCTATAAAACTTTACTGGTTTTCCTACATCCCCTCTGACATTGTATGTGTTTCCTGCTTTAGATTAGCAGCAGTCTTTTTGGTTGGCTGAGCCAAACAATGTTTTGAGCCATAATTTGTTATCCTGGATGTTAACTGAAGGTCTACGCTGTCAGTAGACACTGCAATGATATGTAAGAGTAGTAATTGGTAGTTGGAATCTGTGAATGGCATTTAAACAAAATCATTAGATAGTAGAGTTTCAGGTGTACTTTATGTAATGTAACTGTGGTTATCATTTAACTGCTACATATTTAAGCATACCTGTGCTATTGCTTCAATCGCTGTTCAGAGGGGAAGTTCCAGGCTTTGCAGCATGAGAGGAGTACGTGTGTATCACCTGTGCCCTTTGTAACAGCCACCCATTTTTAGCACCCCACCAGAAGAAGAAAAAAAGTATTTTTGCAGCGAGAAGAATTTCAGACCTTAGCAGCTGCCTCGTGACACGCTGAGTACCATGAAACATGGACTTTAATGACAGCGCTGTCTGAAAGGTTTCCTGCTTCCCGGCTGCCCCATACAAGTCCATTTCCCCTCACACCACACCCTCTGCTCTGCTGTTCGTGGAGCAACAGAGTGAACCATATCTGGGCATTGATCCTGGTGAAAAATAGTCTTGCTTCTGTTTTGCCAGGAGTTTTAACCCAGGTCAATTCACTCATCCATTCCCTTAGGGGCATCAAGAAGTGAGGGAATAACTACATACCCCAAAGCCCCCAGGCAATGACAGTACACCATCCGTGGCTGCTGAATCAGAAATCTGGGGCTGGTTTTCAAAACAGGATACACGGGCTGGGACAAATGTATAACATATGTGCTGCCTCAGTCATAAAGAGCTTTAATAATACAAATGTTTTTTATTTTTTTTTCTCCCTCATCATAAGCCTCATTTCTATTTTCATTTTGCCAATTTACAGTAGCAAGGCTTGGTATTTGGTTTCAGCTGGTGGAGGAAACACTGGGCAGGGAGAAGGCATGAAGGCCCTCTCTCAAAGTAGATTTACACTTCTTTTTTTTCAAATAAGATTTAATGCTAGGAAGCTTCATAGTTTACCTTATATTCCTTGATTTTCATGAGGTAACCATCACTTTCCACCCAGCTGTCCTTCCAGGTCACCTTGCAATGAATTAGATGTATTTCAACTGAGATCTCCCTTGCTCATAGGATTAGGTCGTGTTTGGGAGATGTGTCCCTCTCTCTGTGTTGTATAAACACCTGTGTCCAGTCACATACTGGAGGAGGAATTACAATGCATTGCTGAACTGCGTGTCCTTTAGAGAAACTTGTCTGAGCAGGCAATCTCTCCCCTGCTCCTCAACCCCAATTGATGAGCCAATTTGCCAAGCAGGATTCAAAGGCAGGAGAAGGAATGCATGAGATGAAACATGTCAGGCTGTACTGGAGCATTAGATAAGCCAGCTCCGTGAGGTTCATGCCCCGTGCATGAGACTAGTCAGGTCTCCCTTCACTTCCATCTGTCACCTCTGTTACCAGCAAAGTATAGGATAAATTCCACAGGACTGGTGGACAGTATATTTAAAATACATAGAATCATAGAATTTCCCAGGCCGGAAGGGACCTCCAAGGGTCATCTAGTCCGACCTCCCCACAGTCAGCAGGGACACCCCCAACTAGACCAGGCTGCCCAGGGCCTCGTCGAGCCTCTCCTTGAATATCTCCAGGGATGGGGCCTCAACCACCTCCCTGGGCAACCTGTTCCAGTGCTCCACCACCCTCACAGTAAAGAACCCCCTTCTAATCTCCAATCTAAATCTGTTCCCCTCCAGCTTGAAGCCATTTCCCCTCGTCCTGTCACTACAGGCCTTTCTAAACAGGCTCTCCCCAGCCTTCCTGTAGGCTCCCTTCAGGTACTGGAAGGCTGCTATTAGGTCTCCCCGGAGCCTCCTCTTCTCCAGGCTGAACAACCCCAGCTCCCTCAGCCTGTCCTCATAGCAGAGGTGCTCCATCCCCCTGATCATCCTTGTGGCCCTCCTCTGGACCCTCTCCATCAGGTCTATATCCTTCTTATATTGAGGGCTCCAGACCTGCACACAATACTCCAGGTGAGGTCTCACCAGAGCAGAGTAAAGTGGCAGAATCACCTCTCTGGACCTGCTGGCAATGCTTCTTTTGATGCAGCCCAGGATGCGATTGGCCTTCTGGGCTGCAGCTGCACACTGCCTGCTCATGTCCAGCTTCTCGTCCACCAGAACCCCCAAGTCCCTTTCCTCAGGGCTGCTTTCCAATAC